ATTTTCTAGTTTTTAATATATTTGTTTTTGTATAAAACAATATTAACAATCTTCTTAGTATGGTTGATTCCTTACATTGTTTTTTCACCTTTTCTTGGATGTCCCAGCCTGGTACTCTCTCTATGTAAATTGTGGTGGGAAGTTAATATCGAAGGGAAACATAAACTATGATGATGATTCACAAGAAGCTGGACCAGCAAGATTTCGTCGAACAGGATCAAACTGGGTATTCAGCAACACTGGTCATTTCTTTGATAGTGGTCGCGTAGACTACTATACTTGGTCTAACACAACTAAGCTTGATATGAACAATGGCGAATTGTACATGGATGCACGTGTCTCTGCACTTTCTCTCACATATTATGCATTCTGCATGGGAAATGGAAGCTACACAATAAGCCTTCATTTTGCAGAAATTATGTTCACTGATGATCAAACCTATAGCAGCCTTGGAAGGCGTATATTTGACATATATGTTCAGGTGCATGGTTTCAGCATTTTACCTTTGTCTTCTACGTTGTAACATTGAACAACTTCCTTTTGATCTTTGCAATCCGTTGTGAACCATTTGTGTTTGGATTGAAGTATTGCAGAGAAAGTTGGTGCTGAAGGATTTCAATATTGCAAAAGAAGCAGGAGGAGTTGGTAAAGCAGTCATAAAAAATTTTACTGCAACTGTGAATAGCAGTACCTTAGAGATTCGGTTGCAGTGGGCTGGGAAAGGGACAACTGCTATACCTTTTGGATCAGTTCATGGTCCTCTTATATCAGCTATATCAGTTCATCCTGGTTAGTGCTAATTGTTTAGAGTGGACTTCTTAAGTTTAACTCACTTCCACAAAGTAAAGTTATAGTTCGTCCTAGCGAAATATGTGTAGATATATTATTTCATCCTGAATCATCCATTAATATCTAGTCTCATGTTCAAGATGTATATACCTCAGCGTGAGGAGTATGTTCGAAGTCTCATATCAATTAGAGATAAGATCGATTTATAATATATAAATAGATGCAAACCTCATTTTAAAATATTATTTCACCCTAAATCATCCATTAATATCTAGTCTCATGTTCGAGATGTATATACCTCAGTGTGAAGAGTGTGTTCGAAGTCTCATATCAATTAGAGATAAGACCGATTTATAATATATAAATAGATGCAAACCTCATTTTAAAATAGATTTTGAGGTTGAGTTAGGCTTAAAAGTCCATTTCTTAACATTAATCATTATTTTTCTTGTGTCATCACCTCATATGATATAATATATCTTCTAATCCATTTTTTTCATAATCAAACAGATTTTACACCACAAGAGGAAGATAAAGATGGTGTACCTAAGCATTATGTTGCTGGAATTGTAGTTACTGGAGCACTTGTTATCATCATTATATTTGGCATAGCTTGGTGGAGAGGATGTTTAAGGAGAAAGGTTTCGTTAGAAAAAGGTAAGGACCAAGAGATTATAAATAACTATAAGGTTTTTTTTTAATAGAAGGAAATTCTTGAGCATGATTCATTTTGCCAGCATATAAAACAATTGGGGATTTAGAGGTAAAGAATGCGGGTGATCAATTAATGATTTAAAATCCCTTTTAAATGCTTTTGAGAATCTTTAAAACAATGCTTCAAAAGAATGCATTTTGATGAAAACAAATTACTTGACACTATTTCTATAGTTCATAAGTTATTCACGTGATTATATGGCTAAATAATTGCAATTTTGTCTATTTATTATTACTCTGTTTTGAGATCATAATAAAAAATAACAAGTACCAAATCTTACACTTTTATATGGTTTGTGCCTTTTGACTAACTAAATATGTTTACACTTGATGATTGATGTAGTAATGTTTCACACATTCAGCATTTTCTATGATTATTCTTAAAATGGCAACACCCACTCATACCATGTTATGTAAATATATTACTTTTGTCAAATCGTGTTATATTTAGTTTCATAAATATTGTCAAAAAGCATATATCGAAATTTAAGTTTCTAAAATATAAAATATAAAATATATCGAAACTTACATCTTACAAAAACCTACTGGCAATATATATATGAAATTTTGGTTTTAATTGTGTTAGTACATATGTAATATAATTGCCATCTTCAATCATAATATTGTAGAAAGATTTCAGAAAACATATTTATGTTTTTCTTATATCTCAACAGAACTAATGGGTGTAGATTTCCAAACTGGCTTATTTAGCTTACGACAAATCAAAGCTGCAACTAGAAACTTTGATATTAACTTCAAGATCGGAGAAGGAGGTTTTGGTCCTGTTTACAAGGTATTATGAATTTTTCAACATTTTGTACTTTATTTAAAACTTCCCAAACATAAAGCAAAACTTTAATATCAAAGCTGAAAATATGCAGGGTGTTCTCTCAGATGGCACGGTAATAGCAGTGAAACAACTTTCTTCTAAATCGAGACAAGGGAATCGTGAGTTTATAAACGAGATTGGCATGATTTCTGCTTTGAAACATCCTTGTCTAGTTAAACTTTATGGTTGTTGTATGGAGGGAGATCAACTGATGCTGATATATGAATACATGGAAAACAACAGTCTTGCTCGTGCTTTATTTGGTGATTTTCTTGAAACTGTGTTAAGTTTGGTAACTCTATCAACAATCTAGAAATATGTTCAGTTTACAGTATGTTATGTGTTTTACTTTTTGTGATATAAATGCAAATGCAGCAGCAGAAAAATCTCAATTGAAGTTGGATTGGTCAACAAGGCAAAGGATCTGTGTTGGAATTGCTAGAGGTTTGGCTTACCTTCATGGAGAGTCTAGGCTAAAGATAGTTCATAGAGACATAAAGGCCACTAATGTGTTATTAGACAAAGATCTCAACCCAAAAATATCTGATTTTGGTTTGGCCAAACTTGATGAAGAGGGCTACACACACATAACTACCAGAGTAGCTGGCACCTAGTGAGTTATTATATATATATATATATAT